GGCTGGGGAATGGCTGGGGGATCTTGAACCAAGGGGAATCTTGAATCAATTGACATTTTTTCCAAATAGGTAGGACACAGAAAGTATTCAAAGCCTTCATCCGATAGGACTACACTGAGCCACCATGATCCGGTTGAAAACATCAAGCCTTATTCGATTTCTAGAACAACAGGCCACGAGATTCACTTAGCCGTGGATATACTGGCTGCAAAGCATTCAAAAGCGAACTATTGTGTCGGTTCTGCCCGGTTGTGAATGGACGATGCCACCATGTACACATTCATGACTGGCTTGGGCCCTGGTGCAACCCTTGCCTGAGCTACGCTTGCCATGCTTGCGCTGCAGCAGGCATACACTGCATCCAAGTCTCAAAAAAATACGAGCCACATTTATTGATTGGACGTCTTCGCCGACTCACAAGATGTAGCTGATGCAGTGCTTTCTGAATGCTGCATGAATGTGGCAGCGCTCGCGTTACCATTGATTCTGCAAAACATACACCTAGAACTGATGCTCGAACTGATGCTCCATAGGTCATGGCCTTTATGGCCGTCCATGGCACAACGGCATCAAGCACATGGAATAAGGTATGAATAAGGTCCTTGATCCTGAAACAAATTCATCCTGAGATATAACGAAAATCTGAAGCAACCTCTAAGAGTGAGTCTGATGCTTCCCAGGTGGCATATCTCCAACATCTCCCAACGATCCAAATCGACTCATTTCTCCCGCAGGAAAGCAATCCCAGACCTCAAGTCCTTCAGAGATGCCTATGAAGTCTGAGCGTGAGACATCTGTGTACATGCTATTGTTATAACATGTTATAACCTTCGATCATGTCTAAAACCTCCAAGCTTTTCTCGGAGGTCGTCCGAAGCGTTACCTTTCTTTGACATCACCACGACATGCACTTGATGCGAACCTACCGCATGGCAGGGCTGCAGCTGAGCACAGGATGCTCCCAGCATCTCCCAGCCCGGTTCTGAAAAACATTGCAAAAACGTCTGTAAAATTCTGTAACTCAGTAAACGGTAAAAAACAGCTCGAATTGGCCCAGCTCCGCGATGGATTGCTGATGGTATTCTGTTCATCTTTTTCAACGTACTGGTGGTCTGCATTGACATGGCTCCAGTTGATGTGGCTCCCCACCTCAAAGGGTTTCCACGAGTTCGTGGGCCTGCGGGAAAGGAGTGGAAACTTACCTCGAAAAAATGGACAGCTCCTGTTCTTATGCCAGAACTTTCATGTCGAATTTGGCTTGTGGATGACAATCCCAAACTCCAGCGGATTCAGCCAGATTACACAAACCACCGTGTGAATTTTGTCAAATGTTTGTTGGAATGTTCCCACATCTTCCTGTATGCTTGTTCTCAAATATTTCAGCGGGGAACCGTAAAAACGCAGTCCAAACCAAAAAACAAATCTCATATTAATGTAGCAATATAAGATCACCATTTTATATAAGATCCACAGGTAAATGATTCCCCGGACGCCAGCTGTTACAATACACTCAAATAACCACCCCCGCAACATATTGTTATGGAATGTCATGGACATTTTTCCATCGGTTTTTCCAGCAGTCACATTTACAGGCAAGAACCCCCCCCTCAGAAAATCTACAGTCTTGGATCCAAACGTACCCAGCTCATGACGGATGTGGGTGTGTCTGAAAATGCGGTTTTATGGTTTCCCACTCGTCACAAAATGTGCGCGATGAATTTTGTGGGCCACGACAGATCGGATTTTCTGTGCTGTCAGCCAACAATTCAAGAATATTCAAGGAAGTGGCCCCATGTGGCCCCATCCTCTCAAATAAACTCTTGTTGATGGAGCTGAACATATGTGTTTGTCTCTCTTTGCAGGGCCACAGGTATCTTCAGCAAGAAACATTGTTTGACAAATTTGGGGCACATTGACCCGCAATTGTTCAATTTCTTTTTTCTTTGGACGAATGTGTATGTTGTGGCTTATTTGAAAGCTGAGGATGGGCCTGGTGATGCGGTTTCATCCTGAACCTTTACTTTTAAGTTTAAGACCAGCCGCAAATATGTAGCCCAAAGTGTCGTGCCCCCTGGATTTTTTTTACACCTGCGAACCTCGACTTCTTCAAGTCAATTTTTTTGTTGGTGGAGTTGAACATATGGGTTTGCCTCCTTTTGGAGAGATATCAAAAATCCTTGGCGGAGAGATCAAATCCTCCGCTCGTAGATGAGTTAAAATTCTAGTTCTACAGTGTTATAAGATGTTATAAGCATTCCATCGTGGCAAAGTTTTGGGTGTACAAATTTTTGCAATTTCTGCACTGAGCCCACGGAAAAACAACTTGACAGTATGGCAGGGAATATTATTGTCCCAATTAAAGTTGCCGCTCGGGGGATTATCTCATTTTCAGACACGCTCAAGTCTGACCAAATATAAAAAACCACCACCCTCAGACGATCATGGGACAGCTTTCCTAACTTTCACAATACATACATCTTTGCCGCCCTGTTGAAATTATTTTCTTGGTCTGTGGCATTCATATGCAAAAGAAAAAAAGGATCAAAACCTCTTTGGGACCTATATAAATCGGCGACCCTAACACTTTTATTAAAGTTCGGCACTGGACACCCAGAAAAAATGACTGGTATATTTGGTAAACTTGTTACAGTAATTAGCTTACCAATTCAGTTCATCTGGATGGATCACCAGCGTGAAATCGTGGCCGTGGGCAAAAAACAATTTACATTATGTATACATATGCGGGTTCTATCCGAAAATGACATGTTTACCAAAAATTTGATGGTCCATCATTATATTCCCATTTTTGTACAGGCCAAGAACTGAAGTATATCTCCTACGTGGATAAACACGTATTATCTGCCGACCCCGGCCGGCAGCAAGGGGGAGCGCGCCAGGGATGATTGGCAAAACACTGTATTCCCATCATGGCTGCTTAAGTTAACCTCATTTTTCAGACCTTGTGGTGCATCCGTGCATTTTGTTGCTTGAATGGTACACGAACACAAAAATATGGCTGGTCATGTTACGTTGCCCCAAAATCATTGATTGCCACTGTATATCTCATTATGATGTATTAACTAAAGTATTCCACGATGCCCATTGCATCATTATAAATTATATCCTAATTTCGTGCGCCCAGCCACTATCTGGAACCATCTGGGATTCCTCAGCCTTTCTTGTTCAAACATGTCTTCAAGAATTGGGACGCATCAGATCCTTTAAAACTTAAAAGATCCTTTTCATTTCGTTTTTTTCCGGGAGCCCTTGGGTTGGGGTTGACAAAACCGGCCCGAAACCGCAGCTTTGGGTGGCACTGTGGCACCTTCTCCGTGAGCCTCTTGGCCTCTTCCTTGTCCCGCAACTTGCCTGACAGCCGGCTGACAGCCACCATGCGTCGTCTCACCGCGTCAAATGCGGCCGTTAGCAGCGAATGTGATGAGAAGTTGGGGTTGAAGATGAAGAGAGGGATGACACGTTCATTTTTTTTTGCATAAGAAATTCAACGCGTTTTTTTGTCTTTCGGGATTGAACAACTTGTAAAGAGGCAACATCAGAAGGAATAAGATCACGGCTCCTCATGAAATTTCAGGTAAAAACATGTATCGAGTACCAGCAAAAACAAGTACAACGCAGGAAAACCAGGACAGGGACCAGAAATCTTTGACACATGTTGTTTGTCCACCCTGAATGGTGTTGGGAAATCTTGCGGCTTTCGACGCATGGTTTGCTTTGACCGTGTAGCTTCGTATGAATAGCTCGGGGGCGGACTGTCCAACTCTGCCCGGACGAAAGGCAGCTCTTCTTGAAGCTTTGCCTCAGCGAAAACACTTTCAAGGTGCTGTCAAAATGCTTTTGGAAATGCTTTCAATGACAACACCTTGATTTCACATTGTTTCACTAAACTTTATCTATCACCTTGCTGTGTGAGCTTCCACATGGCCTTGATCATGCCGTGTGCTTGCAAAATCTTGCAAAGCTAGAATACCATTGTGGATTCTGTGAACTGCTGAGCTCACTTGGCCCCCGCGCGTTTTGTTGCGAGACATCCTGTGGCCGCTGCCCGGTGTCAACGACTGTACTCAAATGCAGCTTCCAATATCACACTCTGCTTTCTCAGCTACCCGAAGGCTGGTTGCAGGTCCTGAATTTGTTGTTCCAAATCTGCCAACTCTTTCTGCACCTGCGAATACATCCGTGTGCTCACAGGCAACAATCCGGAAACAGCAAACTTATGCGGGCAAACTCCAAAACATGACAAAACCTCAGCTGGTGAGTTTTGACTCCGCTTGACTGCGCTGGGACGACCTTTCTCACATTAGCATTCATTTGGCGATATAGGCGATTAGTGCCTGTACTACATAGATCTACGTAGGCTTCTCTACAACCTGGCTGCCTGGCTGGAGCGTCTCGACCTTTTTTGTATGCGATGCTGACATGCCCTGTGCCTGATTGGCCAGTTGCTCCCGCTCCAATTGAGCCTCGGGAATGAAACCCATGGCATCCGTTCTAGCAGCACTGAGCAATGTCCAAACTATGCACATTGTGCACATGTAGCTCATACACTTTGGTCAGGTTGATTGAGTTGGCTCCGATAGGTTTTCAGTCTCGGGTGTTGAATGGTCACTTCGCATGAAGAGCTTTGGGCCTTGCCGCAACCCATACAAGAGATTACAACGGCACAGGCAACAGTTTCCAAGGTCGCAGCAGCCAGAATTTCATCTCTCTCTTTTGTCAACTGGGCAGGAACGCCACATCCGCAAACACCACACTCTTCAAAGACCCGACTGGGAAAGTTCATGAAAGTTCAAGGTAATGTTTGCACTGTCTCACATGGAATGGGCGACAAGCCTTCTGCTGTGTATTCTATACATCCAAACCAGATTGGAAAGACAGTTCTCCATCATACAAGCAAACAATAACGACCTTTCGGCACCGCTACTCAAACACTTTCTTTTTTGACAGGCACGCTGCTTTGAAACATTTCTGCAGATTCCAGTTCATCCAGATGCTGTATCTTCATTTTCTCGATGTTTTCTCTTTTTGTCCTTCTTGTCTTTTTTCTCCTCCAAAAATGCAGCTTGGCACCTAAAGAAAAAAGCAAACCTGTTTGCACTAGAGTGCCTGGCTGGATGCAGCGCCCAAAAAAAAGACATACCGGGAGAACATTATTTTGCAGCAGCATTATGCTGCTGTCACCCTATCGGAATGAATGCGACGTAGCAACATGTAGCAACCAACAAAACACACTCAGACCCTCATTCTCAGGTGTCCTTGTCTTTTTTGTCCTTTTTGTCCTTCTTGTCCTTTTTCTTCTTTTTGTCCTTCTTTTCTCTCTCTCGAGGCACTACGACTTCCTCATCATCATGTGGAATTTCATCGTCAAAGATGCCAGAGATAGTATTGGCAGCATCACCGCCAATGTCCTGACAGCGCGAAGCGTCTGGACTGTTGGGATTGAGGCACATGATCGCCAAATGGTCAGAACGTCCAGGTACAAGTTGTATATTTTACATAATTTCTGTATATACACCCGAAGTAGCTGCTTCAAAGACCCCCCACAATCAAATGGAACCAATATCCAGAGATCTTTAGTGTATGATTCCGTATGATAGTGTCACCAAAGAGCACCGCCTGGAGATTCTGCAGGATGTCTATATATTTTTAGTTCCATCAGTTCCATCTTGCCAAGCTATACAGTTTTCATATTCAGGATCCCTTCAAGATCCCGACAAAAAACCATAAATGGTTAACACATGTTGAAACATGTGAAAAATTGTGAAAACATGGAAGCATCGGGAGGTGGGGTCAGGATGCGTCCTCTCCACCTTCCACGACCTGCATTGGCTGCTCTGCCTCTTGGGGAGTTTCTTGCTTCTCCTACCCACGGGGCCCGCATCTAGGATGATCTCGAACCAGAGATGTAAGCAGCATATTGTAAGACCTAGAATCGTCCATCGCAAAAGTTCTGAAGGCTGAAAACTGCAAACAAGAATTGTGAGCCGTGATGCTTTCATGGTTCTCTGTACCAATCTTGCAAGAGGACAATGCAATCGGGTCATCTAAAAGTATCTAAAGCACTCTAGCCAGTACTGTAAACAATGGAACTACAATGAAACACATTCATAATTCATATGAATACGGTCTTGAACCCTTCATATTTGATGTTTCCATAGCAGAACATTGCCGGACTGTGATCGCCCAGCAACAAGTCCAGGCATTTAAAGACATAGCCGACACACCCAGACATAACCCATGAATCAATGCATCTTTGGTCTCCCAGTAAATGATGTTAACTCTGCAAATCTACTGCCATGGTCCTCGGTTTTCTTCTTCTTGTTGCTGGACTTGGCGGCAGCCTTGTCTTTTACTGCCTCCAAGTTGCGGCCCAGCCTGATGTGTCTCCCGCTTTCCTCAGCAACGCCCGGCAATGTCAGTGGTCAATGAGCCTGCGAAAATCTTCAGAGCAGTGTAAGAGTGACGCCATCGCCAGCTTGGAAGTTCAGCCAAGAGACCATCAATCGTAATGCTTGATCTTCAGCTTCCAAATGTTTTTCTCTTCGAAACGCTTCGGAGTTCTTGCCAGTTTTGAACAAAATCAGGGTGCACGAGAATGCGAGGGTCAATATGCGTGCCGAAACAAGTGACAGTTGTGAGTACCTTGGTATATTGCTCAACCATGCTCAACATCTATGTCATATGCTTTAATGTGCAAGTGAAACCTGTCAAAGGAAAGCAACACCAAAACAAAATGTCATTGGAATGGCATGAGAATGGCATCACATCTTTGTCAATGGATGATTGCAACAGTCCTTGGCTCTGTTCTCGGCTTCTCTTTCTCCCTGAAATGGGTGTTGGGTACAGCGGGGGAGTTTGAGTCACCACTTCACAGGGATACTACAAAAAGGAGCACTACCAAAACATAAAACAAACTTAGCATATCTTAGCATGCGGTTTTTTATTTTTATGCCCTGTCTTAATTATTCTGCACTGCGCAAATGTCCGAAGTCACCTGTAAGAAAATAGGTCAAAACAGGTCAAGAACCTAAGAAAATATGTCTCTGCTCTATGGCTCTGCCATGTTGTGCCTCCTTCTTCTCAAGATTCAGCCTTTCTAACTGGAGATCGTTGTGATGGATTTGCCGCGCCAACTCTTGAACTCTAACGTTGACCGTTTCAATTAGCTGCTGCAGGTTCCTCGTCGAAGGGCAGAACAGGAAATACGGGAAAAACTTGAAGCAGCTAAGCCAACTGAAAACTACCTGCTTCTGGGTCTGTGTTAGCTTCTCCCAACTTTCGAATAGTTCGGGTCCAACATGTTGGAACATGTTGCTTTGTCAGGCGGCTTGTCAAATTGTCATCTTAGTGTGCCGTTTCGGTCCAAGTGGCGCGATGTGTTCCTTGATGTTCGACATAAATGTCTTCAGCCCTTCGGGATGACCACTCCGCCGAGACAAGAGCCCACATTCGATGTGTGTCATCTCTGACCAATAGTTAGAGATGAAATTCCAAGCAGCAACTGCGGATGTCAAGCAATCCTTAGGTCATCCCAAATCATTGCCCCAACGTGTTAACAAGAACAAGGCAAGAGAACCATGCAGAATCCATAAATTTATCATATTTTATCGGTAAACATGGGAACACAGGCCCAGGCAAATTGTCCAAGTATCTCTGGCATCTTCGACCTTTTCCAGGCAGCCGGGCTTTTGAATGGCACGGAATCCCCGGTAGACGCGCAAAGTGTGCTTCGCCCAGTCTTCCCAGTTTTTGGCCTTACAGCATCGATGTGGGACCAATGTGGGACGAGTGTCCCCTAAAACGAGATCCATGTTGCAAAACAGTCTGATTATACCGTCGTCGAAAAATATTGAAACTACAACGCAGGCAAGACAAATAATGGTTGTCGCACCTGAATCTTAGCCCGTCAGTGCTTTCATTGGATCAAATGTATTCAAATGCCCGCCTGATTGATCTTGACAAGCATGTCGAATGGCCAGTTGTGGGCTGCTTCACTCAGGACAGCAGCAGCTTCATCGTAGTCTTTTAAATTGTTCAAGGCTTTGGCAATGTGCAAGTTCACCTCGATTCAGCCAAGAAGTGGGTTTCTCCACTTGGAACAGCTACTGCTGTTGCTCTCAAATCTAGACCCCTCGATCTTGCTCATCTTTTCTTGTTGGGCGCGTCCGTCTGAAGTGAAGAAGACTTTCTGTCTGTGCCAGAAAATGCAAGATCTGCAAAGCTGTCTCTTTAACGATCCAAATGCACTTGGTACTTGAAACATCTTGACACCCTTGGTACTCTTTTAGTTAAACATCCAAGGACTTGCCAAATAACATCAAATAACTCTCCCAAGGCCAATCACAAATGCAACTTTGCGACTGAAACATCATCTGGATCCAATTCCTTTGCCTTTTGATACAAGGAGATGGCCTTCCTTGTGTTGGCGATCCGTTCTTCAGTTTCGGGTTCGCTTTCTGCGTCGTCGCCAAAGACCCGCTTTCTTCTCCGAACCCCGTGAGTCTGGATGTAAGTGTGGGCCAGGTTGATGTAGATCGACGGGTTGTCTTCCATGGCCTTGTGATCTCTCACGCATTGGAAAGCCTTTCGTGCCTCAGAGCAATGATCGTCAATGGTATTATCACGATTTCTCACCATATTTTTGTTGGGGTTCAAACTTACTTCTTTATGATTATGATCTTTATGATCTTGAATCTTTATGATTCTTTATGTTCAAAAGTTCCTGGTATGATGTCTAAGCCACGATCTCTGGTTTGCCACGTCGTGCAAAGACCATGCCCACGCCATTGGCCGCTGCAAAACAATCACTATCTATATCCAGGGCCTTGACATAGCGCTCCATCGCCATTCGAAGATACTCGTCCTCACCGTGTGGTGATGCTTTCCAGAGCAATGGGTAATGCAATGAATTTCGGTTTCTGCGGTGACATACTGAGAACAAAAATTCTATCTCCCTAAAACCCCAAACGAATAAGCAAACACAAACTAATCGCAGGACAAACAAACCGCAGCACTGGAGATTGCATCTGCGATCGCCGCCGCAAAATGTCAGCCTACTCTTTTCTTCAACACAGCAATACGATACTCGACAAACATGGGAGAACACACAGGGCGAAGGGGCTAGTGTTGATAGCCTTTTGTAATTCGATGGAATATGGAATGGAACCCGTACCATTGCAAAGCGCAACTCTCCTTCGCTGCAGAGGGGGTCTTGTGGGAAGTGGCAGCTTCGTAGTACAAATTCGCCAAAAAAACGTAGGCATAGTGCTCCTCCTTCTCACCTGCCAGGCTCCAGCACAATGCTTAATGTTAATTCTTCAATATGTTTTCATTAAATTAACACAATAAAACGCAACATATTGAAACATTACAAGACCAAAGGGATCCAAAGGGTTTGTTCAGAGGTGTTCCGAGTTTGCATGAGTTTGCCAGGGTCCCAGTGTCCCAGTCTGAACCTGCAGCTGCCAAAGCTCGCTCTCCCCACTTTAAGGCATTGGTGTATTGTCCTGCATAGTTTTGCATAAAGCCGCGCGCCCATGCTATTATCATGAAATCATTCATAATTTGAATACTGTAGAATATATTAGGCAACGTATTGGGCTGGGAAATCGTGGAAAACCCAGGTGCCACATATGCCGTGTAGTATCCGTATCACAAAATCATTCATAAATCAGTCATAATCATAGTACCATAACTGTAATCAGTCGTAAGGCAAAGTATTGGGAAACATGTCAAAACCCAGGGGACGCATGTGCCTTCTAGCAAGAATCACAGGGTCCTGCTTCTCGCAAAGCTTCGGCACTGTACAATCTGGCCTGCCGTTGCTCCCCATGGCTGTTGAGGCACCACATTTGGGACCATCACATGATTCATCCATGTGTGCAGATTGCACTTTCACACGCGCACAAAATTGCTCAGAACAATCTTTGCGAATTCTGATGTGGAATGCATCTTACGTGCAAAAACACTCCAATTGCACCTGGCAGGAAGGGGTCGGCGAAAAGACCCGAGAAAAATCGAAAGGTACCATCGCATACCATCGCCATGTCCGGTGCTAGATGAAATAAGTTGACAGATTGCGAAAACCGTGCAAATCGAGAAGTAGGAAAACCAGTTGTTTGGAAACGGCATGATGGTTCTTGGGTTAGCCACGTCCCATCTCAGCAAGTCGATGTAAAATGAAATGAAATTGAGGCAGGTACGTCATTCTGGCGTCCCAGAATGATTTCACGCTTCAACAGGCATCTTCGTTGGCCTGAGTCCTGTTGAGAAGCCTCAGGCCCCCTGCACCTAAACGAGTAGAAGTTTTACATCTATTCACATGGTTCACACACACGCCCTGCTGCCGCAGGGCTTTTTTGGAAGACGCAAATTGTCGATTGAAACAAAGCTCTGATACGGTCAACTGGTCTCGGATCAGACGATCAAAATGTCAGAGACAAGAATTAATTACAAGTGGTAGCGACACTCTACCTGGTCAGGGATGACGAGGACCTAGTCCGAGATGTCGGAGATATCGCCAAGTTCACCGGGTCGAGCATGATATCCGCCAAATTAGTTGCCGTAATGGCAAGATGATTCTGGGACAACTCCGATTGGAGTGGCTGAGTGGCTGAGTGGCTGAGTGGCTGAGTGATTGAGTGGGCGACTGAGTGACTGAGTGGCTGAGTGACTGAATGGCGAGTGACTGAGTGGCTGAGTGGCTGAATGGCTGAGTGACTGAGTAACTGAGTGGCTGAGTGGCTGAGTGTGAGTGGCTGAGCTGAGTGGCTGAGTGACTGAGTGGCTGAGTGACTGAGTGACTGAGTGTCTGAGTGGCTGAGTGGCTGGGTGGCTGAGTGGCTGGGTGACTGAGTGACTGGGTGGCTGAGTGACTGAGTGACTGAGTGGCTGAGTGGCTGAGTGGGTGAGTGAGTGAGTGACTGAGTGGCTGAGTGGCTGAGTGGCTGAGTGGCTGAGTAGCTGAGTGACTGAATGACTGAATTACTGAGTGGCTGAGTGGCTGAGTGAGTGAGTGACTGAGTAGCTGAGTGACTGAGTGACTGAGCGACTGAGTGGCTGAGTGGCTGGGGGTGAGTGACTGAGTGGCTGAGTGGCTGAGTGGCTGAGTAAATGAGTGGCTGAGTAAATGAGTGGCTGAGTAAATGAGTGGCTGAGTGGCTGAGTGGCTGAGTGGCTGAATGACTGAGTGGCTGAGTGGGTGAGTGAGTGAGTGACTGAGTGGCTGAGTGACGGAGTGGCTAATTGACTGAGTGGCTGAGTGGCTGAGTGACGGAGTGACTGAGTGGCTGAGTGGCTGAGTGGCTGAGTGGCTGAGTAGCTGAGTGACTGAATGACTGAGTGACTGAGCGACTGAGTGGCTGAGTGGCTGGGGGTGAGTGACTGAGTGGCTGAGTGGCTGAGTGGCTGAGTAAATGAGTGGCTGAGTAAATGAGTGGCTGAGTGACTGAGTGGCTGAGTGGCTGAGTGGGTGAATGACTGAGTGACTGAGTGACTGAGTGGCTGAGTGGCTGAGGAGGGTGAAGATCGGTGGTGAGATTGACGATCTGGAGTTTTCTGCACCACGGTCGCAAGGCTGGCTTCGAAGGTCGTCTTCATTTGTTGCAGCATCTCATCAGGATTAAATGGTACAGGAGGAGCCGGTGGACTTGGTGTGGCCACCTGCGGAATCGGTGGTTCAGGTGCAGTTGGCACCGGTGTTGCTGGTGGTGTTTGCACTGAAGGTGGAGTAGTTGTCGGTTGTTGTTGAGCTTGGTGATGAGGAAGAAGTTGTTGGAGGTGATTGATGTGAGTCTGAGATTGATTGTGGAGTTGTTGGTTCAACAGCGCATTCTGCTGTTGAAGTGCCGTAATTTGTGCCTGAACCTGAGCTTGGGACTGGGGGTATGATGGATCACTTCCAGGTGTTGCCGGTGGTGGTTGGACCGAAGGTGGAGTCGGTGTTGTTTGTTGGACTTGATGATGAGGAAGGAGTTGTTGGAGATGATTGATGTGAGTCTGGGACTGGTTGTGGAGTTGTTGGTTCAGCAGCGCGTTCTGCTGTTGAAATGCCGAGATCTGCGCCTGAGTCTGAGCTTGGGACTGCTGAAACGATGGATCACTTCCACAAAATTGTCCTAAAGGTACTGCTGGTTGATGAGGTGCAGGGGCTGGGGCGGACCAGCCGTAGTTCCACATCGACTCTGGGTAGTAAGGCCAGCGACCAGGAAACATGGCGAAAGGAGGTCAGGTTTAATGGATTTCAAAATCAAAAGTTCAAACAACGACACATCCACAAAACGTGCAAGGTCCCCTATACAGGCACCATGGCCTCCTGGTCGAGTCAACCCTATAAACGGCTGTCAATCGTCAAAATGAATTACGTGCACATTTGAGTCGTACCAAAAACCAAAAAGGAAGAATCACCATACCTGCAAGAATGGTCTGCGCCTGGAATCCTCATGGTGCAATTGTCGACGGCTTAAGTTGCTCGAGCAATATCGAAAAAAGAAGGTTGTCGCGGCTTCAGGCTACAAATGACAGTCAGGCAGTCCCACTGAAAAAGATTGAAGCCACACAGCGGCCAGTTGTTCAACACAGTGACTCGACATAGTGAAACCTGAAAGGTGAACGACTGTTTCACTTTACTTAAACGAATTACTAGGTTGAAAATTGTAAATTCAGAGATCAAGTCGTTGCTTCGCTCTCCTGCTTAGACAAGCATTCCCGTGACGAATCCAGCATGAATCACACACTTGCTCAGAACAATCTTTGCGAATTCTGATGTGGAATGCATCTTACGTGCAAAAACACTCCAATTGCACCTGACAGGAAGGGGTCGGTGAAAAGACCCGAGAAAAATCGAAAGGTACCATCGCCATGTCCAGTGCTAGATGAAATAAGTTGACAGATTGCGAAAACCGTGCAAATCGAGAAGTAGGAAAACCAGTTGTTTGGAAACGGCATGATGGTTCTTGGGTTAGCCACGTCCCATCTCAGCAAGTCGATGTAAAATGGAATGAAATTGAGGCAGGTACGTCATTCTGGCGTCCCAGAATGATTTCACGCTTCAACAGGCGTCTTCGTTGGCCTGAGTCCTGTTGAGAAGCCTCAGGCCCCCTGCACCTAAACGAGTAGAAGTTTTACATCTATTCACATGGTTCACACACACACAAACCCACACACACACACAGCACACACACACACACACTCACACACACACACCCACACACACACACACACACACCCACTCACGCACATCCAGTCTTCCATGGCTTGTTGCTTCTTGTTGGCCAGATATGATGGTCTGTTACCGGCTACACAAAACATGGTGTGGCAGTGTAGCAACCAGCTGGCCAGTCAGAAACATGAAACATCATGAAACACTGGGATGGGATCTTTTGAACATCGTTTGAACTGAACTGGTGACATCTAGCTCAACTGGGCCTCGAATGGAGCGTCGTTCATGGCCATGCGATAAGATTGCAAGGCTTGTTGCGTACGGCCCAGACTCTGCCACTGCTTCCCAACTCGCAGCGAGGCATCTGCAAACCAAGGATTGTCCTGGATGCGGTCAATACATTCATTCAGTCTTGCGGCGCATAAGAACTTGTCAACGAATATGACACGAATTCAACCAGCCCAATTCTTGGCATCTCATTCTCTTTGGGGGGAAATGGCCGCGGGATTTCAAGCGAGCTAATGATTCCGTAATGGCTGCAGAGGCTGTGGTTTCCACCGCTTTCCATCCCCGTTCTCCTCCTGCATAGTTATGTACTCTGACACGGCCTCTGCGATTTCAGGCCCGGAGGGATGGGACTCAGCCAGAAAAGCTCGGTTGAACTTCAAGCAAATCTGGGAAACCTCCAACTCCTCAAGCAAGTCATCTGCATCATTTTGCATCCCTGTCTGTGCATGGAAAAAGTTTCTGAAGCATAAGAAACTGCTCCATAGATATTGTTGAGAAGCAGAAAACCTGCAGCTTTTCGCTATACCAGTATTTGGGCAAGCTGGGTGGCGGAAGTTTCGAAAGGGGGGAAAACTATAAAGAAAAGGGAGGGCCTATAGGAACAGCGCCTGGCCGTTCTCTTGATCCGGTTTGCGCTTGACAACTCTGAATCTCGGCAGGCTGTTGCCCGCTGTTTGTCTGGACGTCTTTTTCTCCTTGACATGTTTTTCTCTCGGCTTCCTTTTCTGGTGATGCCACTTTCTCTCCATCCAGTGGGCGCGCGTGTCATCTTTGAATCTTGACAGCCCCTTCTGTTGGGGAGCCCTGGAGGCCGAGACCTGACACACTCTTCTCTTGACAAACTTCTTTACCTACTCTCTTCACTCCCCTTTTCTCTTCCCCTCCCTACCTTAGTATACTCGTGTGAGCAACGTCACGCAAGCGAACGAAACATTCTTTGTACAGTGCAAGCTGCAAGCCTGGATCACCAAACACACTGGCACAGCGCATCCAATCTTTCATGCGGACCACTCGAGCGAAAAGCGAAAGAAAGCCGCACCCGTCGCACAAACAAGGTCCCCCACATCGCGGCCGGGAAGCACTTGATGAAAGAAAGCATTGGGTTTCGTGCGATTCCTAACCTTCAAGCATCACCTGGACGAAGCGTGATGTGGTGGTGTGGTGATGTGGTGATGCGGTGATGTGGTGATGTAGTGGTGATGTGGCGACGTGGTGATGGTGCTGTTTGATTTTCTCCTCTGCCATATTTTCCGTATAACGGAGTTTAAACTTTTAAACTTCCTGTGATAAAAAATCCTATATGATGTTCACGGTTTCATGATGTTCTTTCAAGACTTTCAAGAGGCAAACCCACTTCAGCCTCCGAGTCCAACAATGGCTATCAGCAAGTTGTGCCAGTAGCTGTGTTGTATGTCCTTCTTTTCTTGCGGATCGGTGCTGTGCAGAATTTGCTGCTCAACGAACTCAAGCCCCTTCTCATAGGCTCTTTGCGCCATAGCAGGGTCACCTCAGCACAATGCCATCACTCTGGTCATTGCAAGCTTCGAGTACGAAACAAGGAGTTCATTGCTGTTGACAGCTCAGATTCAGTCACAAAATAAGTTGGTGCTCAATACCTCACTGCCTTTATTCCTGATCTGATTATCCTACAAATTTGTTCCCGATTAAGTCACACAAAGATGCACGATGCACTACCAAGACGGTGTACCAATCTGAGAATTGGGTGAAAGGCACACCTATGGGAAGTTCCTATATTTGATGATATCAGAATCATATCACAACGATATCGAGTTTCCCTTCAACCTGATGTAGATTACCAAGGGATACCAAGGGCGTAGGCACCGTAGATGCTGAAGATGGTGCCCATGTTATTCCACATCTCTGGCGTCGCCTCGCTTTGATTCTCCGGTGACTCCAGGAGCTGAGCCAGTCGCTCATAGGTGCTGACGGCGTCCTGCAAGGGTAACATGGAGATCAAATTTATTCGAATTTCAGAAAACATTCTGGAAATTGAAACCGGCTATATATATATATATATATGATATATATATATATATATATTCATGTGCAGTATTTGAATATATTTGATTCATAGCATCCAATGTCATCCGATTACTTTACGTTACTTTGACTGCTACTCCCCTGCTTTCGGCGTCTTCATGCATCTTCATCATCTCCATGCATCTTCCATTGTGTAGAGTCCACTCCTTTGTGAACATGTCCACGAGTAAAACAGAAGCCCGGCCCGGCATAGCCCGGCCAGTCCTTGGGCTTCACACGTGTGTAGGCCTCTGCTTTCATGCTCAACGCCTCAACATCTTCTGGCACCAGGGCCACCAAGCGGTCTGAAGCTTCACGTGCCTAGTGTCTGCAACAAGGTGCCGCCAGGTGCCCATGCCCCAAAACTTGAAACGTTCTGGGACAACGCGGCTTGCTACGACATGCTGGGACATGCATCGACACGCTACGACCTAATGATCTTGACTCATATTGAATTGAATCTATAATAATCTTTATACATTGAATTACACTGATATCTATTGCGCTCCAAGAAGCAGCTTTGAAGCTTTTTGAGACAAATGGGCACAGGTTTCGAGTCCCAGGTGCATCCTTTCCTAGTGCATGATTAACCCCGTGACGCAGGGGCTATGCCGCTGTGCCCTTTGCCTGGCCTTGTGGTTGTGCTCGTTGTCGTTGGTTGCAAGATAAGCAGTTATGAGAAGCTTCAACACCTGCAGGAAAAGCCAACAAGATCTAACAAGATCTAACAAGATCTAACAAGGCTATCTGTGCTCACAACGAAATTGATCTTGTGAAGTCACATTGATGTCAGAGCGTCCCAGATGTTCACATCAAGTCCCATGTGCAAATGTCGTTCTTGTATGTTCTTGTTCTTGGTCATGTTCATTCATGTTAGATCATGTCGTACACATGTTGTACACATGTTAATCAATGCTTGTCCAAAACTTGTTGTGCCTCTGGCTCTTGCCTCATGTGTTTGGGCGACTTTTCCAGCAATTTCATGGCGCGAGAGTAGAGTTTTCTGTGCACCAGGCACTGCGCCAAAGTGTACACGGCAATCTGGTGCTGCGGCATGAGATCCACTGACTGTTCGTATTCTCTCATCGCTTTTGCCACGTCTCCTGGGACAAAAATGCCATGGCTGCACGCAATTTGTGCTGGGAAACACATATTGAATTATTCAAGTCTCAGTCGTTGGCTACAAACTAGCCCATTTACATACATGTAGCATATACACGTGTACATACATGTCATGCATTTACGTACATTTCGGTTCATTTACGTACATTTAGATTCATTTACGTACGTATACGTTTCAAATCTTTTACAATCTATCTTTTACCTCTCATTGCAATACTATGTTATGTATATATATAGACAATACATACTTTTGCTGCTTGGTTCGCTGTATGGCTGTCCTTTCACATGCGCTAGCCGCCCTTGCTGGTAGTGCAACTCGGCACGAACCTGCTTGGAGCACACGCCTTCTGCTGCCTTGGCACCATGTGAGACTTTGCCCAGATTGGTACTCTACTTGGGTATCCCGCAACATCGGTAAGCTCCCTATCAATTTTATTGAATTCGCTTAACTTTTCCAATCATTGGCGGGACCACTACAAATGCCATTGGTTACGCAAGTCAGAACATAGCGGGAATGTAAATGGTTTACAGTAACAGCCACAATTATAGCACGGAATTAGGAGTACAAAAGTATGGTAAAATACGTACTAGTACCTTCGTACTCCTCCGGATCGCGGTTCCGTGCGGATTCGGATCCTGTTCTATAACTAATTTTTGGCTGTTCTATAATAAATTTGGACTGCTCAACTTCTATGTACGGGAATATTGCCATACATACCCCAAAGAATATGGCCTTATGTGGGCCTCAAATTCCCATTGAAACCACCGGAAACACGCAGATTGTGTGAGTCTTGGAGGTTACCTACATGACCTACATGTATTTACATCACTTATCATCATTTTATGTATCGTTATGGGACCCCGGAAAAATGTACATATAGAACACAGAATTATAGAACGAAACTATTGCAAACTTAATTATAGAACACGCAAATATAGAACACGCAATTATAGAACAGAATTGGTAAAGGTGAGAAATATGGGGAAAACACAATTATGGAACACAACCAGATCCCAACAAGAATTATAGAACGACAAAAACAGTAGGAGCAAGTTGAGTACTTTTTTCCAACCTTCTGAGGAACAGGAACTATGGAACAACAGGATACGGTAAACAACCGTACTTTCGTACTCCTCAACTTTCGTTCTATAATTAATTGTGGCGGTGACCATATATATGTTTATATATGTTTATATACTCTATTTTCAATCTATTTTCTATCGTCAACTACAGTACCTGTTCTTTTCTGGTGCCCGAAATCCATTGTGTAACTGGTGTTTCTTCAAGGAAAAGGTTTTTTTTTTCTGCGGGAAACTCTCAACCCACACATTTTGGTGACCAAAGACCTCCTCCAAAAAGCTTTTGGCCAGCGCCCATTCAGGTGGCGGCTCACCGTTTGTTTGCTTTGCATGGCCCACCTTGAACGCATGATCTGCTGCCTGTCAGGGATGTTCCTTGAATACATGGAGCCTCCACGAACCACATCAAACCAAAAACCTGCAAGGTAAAGCGACCTGACATGTCGACAAAATATGTGAACATCATTGAACATCAAGCCAAAAAAAACATACGCCTGCAACAGCACTACAGGGTGCTTTGGAGCCACTTGCCTCAGCCAGTCTGCCACCTCTTCAATACAGGTTTTCTATGGTTTTCTCTAATTTGTTCATCCATTTCTCATCTTTGAACCCGCTCAAATCTATTGCATCATATCTCAACTTCCACGCATGTAAATTCAGTTAACAAACCTGCTGTTCTACATCTTGCAACTGAGGTTCATGGCTTTGCCTGGCTTTTCTGGTACGGCTGAATATGCAAATTGACCAGAGATGCATGTGAACAAAGATTCCTATCATTGTTTGTGGACATGGTCCACATGCTCATGGGTTTGATTCTCATGCTCATGCAGGTCTGCTTGTACTCTCAAGCAAAATTCTTTGCAGAAGTATAGCCAGTGAGCCTGAAACTCCCAAAAAGCAATCAAAAAGATTTACCAAGTCGCAACTGGTGCATGCGTGTGCATGCTACACATGTGTGTGCATGCTACACATGTGTGTGCATGCTACACAAATTGACATGTTTTGACCTATTGACCCAAATATAAAGACACAAAGACGTAAACTTTATAAACTGGTCGGCTTTGCTGGTGTATGTCATTGCGCTGGCTTTTGCTTCTCTAGTGTCGGAGTCCCGCGTTGCAAGGCGCGACAGGGCGCACAGCGCTTCGGGGTCCGGGTGCAGCTCTATGACGCCCAGCAGCGCCTTCTGAGCTTTTTCCATTCGACCCAAACCTGGCCAAAATATACCAACATCGATAAATTCAAAACGCAAAATTTAAACGCCACATTCATCCGAATTCAAGATATCAATGGCTTTACATGGCTTTACATGGCTGTACATGGCTTTACAATGTGCTCATCAGGAACTTTTTAATGTTCATTCAGTTTATTCTTCTCATTTTCTGCTGGTTGTTTACAGGTGTTCACATGAGAAAATCAGATGGCAACCCACGTCCAGTCGAAGAAAACACATCGACTATGCAAGGTGAGGAAACCTCAAAATAGCTTGAAGGCCTTGGGGGCCAAATGAAAGACTGCAAGCTGCGCCTACGAAACAAGAAGCCATAGCAAACCTCAAATGTCGCAATGCCACGACCTGTACCTTGCCCCAAGCTGGGGGAGACAGCAGCTCTCCAGCTGTTCGGGAATATGGTACCAAAGCCCACGGAACCAACGGTCACGGTGAGTGGTGATTCATTTTTGTTTTCTCAAAAACAAATACAATACAACACACACACACATAACTATATATATATATATTATATTATACAAGATTATATATATAGCATGTGATCCAGGGTTCTCTTGCTCTCCTCAAAGACTTCAACATTCTTCATGTAACCAAGAAGTTCGTACTTTGATTGTACATAAGCACGCGCATTCACTGGATCTTTGAGTGTCCTTCCCAAATATGAATGGCCATGCGCACTCCGTCAGTGGGCTTGTGTGGGGCGGCGCGCATCAACACCTCGACGCGACATTTTCAAGATCCCTTGGAAAAAACGGAGAAAAACAGTTCCTGCTTTGAGCGGCTAAAGAAACTTGGTTTATTTCTAGATTTGATTCATGTATCATACGGTGAATTTACGTCACCTAATTACTGCATGGTG